GAGATAATCGAACTTTTTTTGTCAATTTGGGGTATACGCGGTTAAATGAGTTGAGTGCGGGGGCATCACTTTGTCTAGTTTACATTTTTTTCTCGTGTTGTGCTGTTACACAACTGTAACAGTCCGATGTAAGGTTAGGATTTAGCGCTCACATACATGTTAAACTCCGCCACGTGTACTTTCTTTATGTACCTGCCCCAAGTCAGGAGCATGAAGTTCAATTGTTGTCGTTGTTTAAATGTGTGTCTTTTTTTTATGTAGATTGTTTATTTATAAATAAGACCGTTTGTTTTTTCATTTGAATTTTTTCACATGGTGCATGGTGGCCTTTTGTAGCTGACTATACGGTGTGTTGAAGGCTGTACGGTTGCCTATATATGATTTCGTACATCCACTGATTTTAAACTCTGGTGGATAGTTGTCTCATTGTCAATCACACCACATCTAACTTTATTTCAACTTCTATGTTGCGTTTTGTATACTGTAACATTGTTTATCTTTTGTACGCATACCCCGGAGCCCTCTTTTCGGAAGCCCGAGCAAAAGTCCTTCAAGTGTTCCGCGATAGAAAATTTAATTACGAACTCATATAAGATAGCTCGAATTTCAACTCAAAATCTTAATTAATCTAAATGAGACTTAAATTCGAATCTTACTCACACTCTACCTCAAAAAGTGACTCAAATTTAATGTTGAAACTAGAACTCTACCTTTAAATGTGACTCAAACTCGAAGTCCAACTTGAAACTCAATGCTAACTAAAACTTTAATATTAATAATGACTTGAATTCGAAATCGAAGACTAACTCAAAGTTTAACTCAAACAGTAACCCGAACTTTAATTTGAACTCTAATTCAGTGGATGGCCACACTCATCCAAGGCACATACAACATGGAAATCTATCTAAAAATAGAACAGGTTTTTCCGAATTGGTCACGTGATTTTACCTCATCAAGTAATGGGATAACCACATCAAAGAATGACAGGACCACATCAAATAATGAAACAAACACATCATGTAGTGTAAAATCGTCAAATTTTGAAACATCATTACGTAATGTTAAAACCATATAAAGAATAGGCAAATCATCATTACAAAATAACAAAACCACATCATGTAATGAAAAAACTACATAACGTTAAGTCACATTCACATCAAGTAATGTTAAAACCACATTGACTAATGACACAACCACATTAAATAATGGTGAAACCACATCGAGTAATGACAAAACTATATTGAGTAATGACAAAACTATATTGAGTAATGACAAAACTTTATCAAGTCAATACGAAACCATATCGTGTAATATCGAAATATCATTAAGTAATGATTATTACGTATTGAGTTATATCAAAACATCATAACGTAATGTCAAAACCATATTAAGTAAAGACAAGATATCATCAAGTAATAATAAAACAACATAAAGTAATATCAGAGTTCCACATAAGACAGCTGTGGCGTTTCCTGTTATGAAACTAACAATTATGTTTATCCACATTCAATTATGTTTGTAAATCGTAACGTACGTAGTTGCACCCGAAAAATGGCCCGATAAAAATGACAGATACTATGGTGTAATTGTTAACACTAACTTTCGAAACATTTTAAAGTCAAGTGTTAACATAGTTCACAATATTGAAAACAATATTCATAAATTATTTAGAATGGAGGTTTTTTGATAATAATTATTATAAATATTTCAATCGTACAGCATGAAAAATAATTATATTCCTTTATACTAAACAGGGATTTCATATAGAATGTGTTTTCGATACCAGTTGATATAAGCATCCGACAGACGTTTTGAAAATTCTGTACAAAAGAATTAAAAAAAAAAGCATTTTATGAACTATCAAAAGGCAAAACGACTACGCCTACATTATCCCTTTTAATATCAATTGTGAGAAAATCCTCTGATAAAATATTATCTAAACTTATTACTATCAGATTTTCGTGCTACCTCGAGAGTTTAGGGCACTAAAGGTATATTACGACTGTCCATTGTATAACCATCTCATTTTGAGATTAAGACTTGTTACGTAAGGTACAGTTTATTTCTATTTTCTATTTTCATGCCTAAAACAATACATTATTGTACATATTTAAGAATTGGAAAGAACAAAATTGTCGCAACCTTATAAAAATTAAAATATTGAAAAAATATATTATTAAATGATTTGCTCCGTTTCATACCTTTCCAAAAGTCACAAAAAAGGGACAAAGCATTCCAACCCAAATTTAAATGATGTACGACGACAGCCCTTTCTAATACTTTGAGTCTTTTATTGGTTTATTCTCTTGCGACATACCACGTCCGAAAAACCAACACGTAACATTTAACTTTATTTCACAGTCCTCAAAATAAATTACTTATAAATAGTATATATAGGTATTTTATTACACATATTTGTCTTTTTGCATTTCAGTTTGCTCATAATTTATTTATTCTGTCATGTTTTCAGTAACTGATAGTTACCGAAGTGTCCGTACATTTAATAACGTAACAAAGTATTAATATTTATCAGCACGAAAAATGTTGCACATCTACACGAAACAGTTTAAAGACACAGCTGTTTATTGTGGTTGAATTTTAATATGTTAGGAGTCTTTCTTCCACAGTGTTTTAATTTATGTTTCTCACAATATTCACATGGACTCAATTTGGCACTTTAAATCATACAACGTTCTTTTTTGAATTATTCAAATCCCCAAAGCATTTGCTGTTGATAGAGTGAACTACAAATTTAGTCTAAGATGATTTTTTTATTAGTTGTTATTGGCTTTGAACTAGATGTCGGTATCTGCGAGTACTCTCAGATCTGTACTTTGTGTCTGTTTTGTTAGGGATGTATAACCCTGCAACGTCCGGACTGTTTTTGTTAGATGTTTTTTCTGCTTTGTACCGATCAGATGAGTTAAGCCCTTTTCAACTGAATTGTATAGTTTGTTCTTATGTTGTGCTGTAACACCAATGTCTCAGGTTAGGGGGAAAAGGGGGGGGGGGGGGGTTGAGCGCTTACAAACATGTTTAACCCCGCCACACTCTGTATGTGCCTGTCCCAAGCCAGGAGCCTGTAGTTCAGTGGTTGTTGTTCAACTTGGTTCATGTCTGTCATATTTGTTTTTCGTAAATTGTTTTGTTATAAATTAGGCCGTTAGTTTTCTCAATTGAATTGTTTCATATTTTTCTTGTCGGTGCCTTTTATTGCAGATAAATATGGGTTTTTCTCATTGTTGAAGGCCGTACGGTTGCATATAATTGCTTACATCCACTTCATTTGAACTTTGGTGGAAAGTTGTCTCATTGGCAATCATACCACTTCTCCTTATTTTTATACAAATGTTTTTGTTACCTTAAAGACTCCGGGGGGTAATACTATCATCAGCTCAGTAGTCAGTGCCTGGATAGTTACATGATTTATAACAAACTTTTTCAAAATAACCATTCCAGCTTCCTCATACAATGTGACTTTAATACTATTTGGTATTATTGTATAAACCATTTGATAATATAGCTCCTGGCATTTCTACATATATACACATCAATGGCTTCCAAATGTTTAAGTTACGGCGTTTACTGCTGAAAGTGAATCAAGAAAGGCGATTTTTTTAACTTCGAGTTAATAACAAGTAGTACCGTACCAAAGGAATGTAACTGACCTTTGCTTGATAAAGAAATGGTGTATTTGATTACAATTGAATGTATACAATTGATTAAATATTGGTAAATGTAATGCTCCCTGACAATTGTATATCATTTAAGTTGAGCTGTTAAATTTATGCCCTTGTCCTTAATACATCCGTTTGATTCAATGCATTGGGATCTGACATTGGATTTTTATAAAATTCTCGAAATATATTAACACACTGTATGGATGGTCATGATGTAACATAAACATATTGTTACATCTTTTTCCTTTGGTCTCTGGTGGATAGTTCTCACGTGTACAATCATATCAACTCTCCTTATTTCTTATATATCAAACCAATATGAATGCACACGAATCGTGTTATTTGAGAAGTTTTTATCAGTTAAGATGGGGATCAAAAGAATGAGGAATGCTGAATACTAATTTTGATAAATGTGTTGTGATAGAATTGTGTCACGTATTTTTTGCAGAAATAATATTATACCAAGATAAGGTCAACACTTCTTAATTTTCGAAGGTTTATCTTAAGTTTAGTATTTCCAAAAATTTGTAGCATCATTTGAGTTTGTATTAGTAGGAGGTAGAAAATAACAAACCATCAATTAAAGATCTAAAATCCAGATGACAGATGACATAGAAAACATACTAGCCAGACGTAATTGCACAACAAGAACTAAGAAAAATATTGCGTAACGAAATCGCGACTTCTGAATGTATTTTTTTTTCTATTACCACTGACGAGACGTTAACTATGATCTGAAGGCAGTTCTCCTGTAATGTATTGACATAATCTATAACAAATTAATTAAAGTTTTCTTGAATTCTCGGCTACTACTTTAAGAAAAAAAATTTCAGAAACTTAGGCATGTATGTAAAGTTACGACAAAGTTGACTTTAGATGGTTTTGGTTATTTTTTATTTGATGTTCATTTTTGTCATAAAAATCCTCACATTTTTAGGTGCATTGTTGTAGTTATATAAATATTTATTTTCTTTTATAATCATAGGATATGCGCATGAAATTAAATATTTTTATCGTGTAATTGCTTCTAATAACGAAGTCGATACCACTACAAGTATCACCGACACTTTTGTACTTGCAGTCTTTTTTTTCTTTGGATAGAGTACAGTACAGAAACATTTTGGAGGAAACTCTAATGTTAATATCCTCCCGATACAAAGATATTTTTTTTATCTAATTTGCTATCCTGTTTTTTATGTGTTATCTATGGGTTTTAACGTCTTTAAATTTTTCATTTGCAATATTTGTTGTAAAGTACAACTGATGGACTATATAATTTGAAAATGAACGTATGGTGTTATATTATTTTAATTAGGAAGAAAGACCGACAGAAAGATGATAATTAAATCCGCAATCATCTTTACTATTGTGGGTATGATATCTGGTCGCAACTACTACCAAGACAGGATACCAAACGGTCACTTCGTACCAAACCCATGTGGAACATCTCAATACTGGAATACTGTAGGACATCTCAATCCAGCTCACCACACACACTTGAAAAATATCTTTGGTAATGTAAGTATCATTTACAATACATTTTCAAGGTTTCTAGAATACGTGATCGATGCAGGTCATGCTTATTTCAAAAACGGGCCAGTAAACATAAATTAACGCAATTAACTACCTGCCGTGTCATTTAGGAAATTTATAATAACTTGCAACTCCAATAGATATTCAAATTGGACCATCATAATTTTCGTCAATTTTTATTTATTTACATAAATTTGCTGTGTGCCTTGAAAAGCTCTTATATTTTCGTGTATTATTAATCAAACAACTGTATGGAATACATTATAAAACCCAATATGTCAGAGTTCAGTAAGAGCAGGCAGAATAATTATATCAGCAAATAAAAACAATGCTTTTTAGTAATTATTTCAGGTGAATCATCGATATATATTTTCCTCAGATAGAATTTTCTTATACTTTACCAAAATGAAGATTTTAACATGTTTTTTTTTTTGTTTTTTTTTAAATATAATAAAAAGTATTGGTCGCCGTGCTATATTTCAAGATACAAATCGGGCAAAATTGTCAAAATTTGCATAGATTATTCATAAACGAAACACTTTATTGTGAATAAAAACAAATATATGAGCTGGAATTTTGAAATAAAATATGAGAAGATAGGTTTCATAATATGCTTTAAGAAAATAAAAAGAAAAAATGGCGTCACCGAACTTGTTTTTATTTTTTGCTACAAGTAAATATTTCTTTAACATTCCTTTATAAAAATTATAATTTTTGAGTTATCTCCCCATAAATGGCTAAGTTGAAAAATTGATACAAACGAAAACAGATACTTGGTATGCATAAATTTCAGTCTAACTAATTTAATAAACTACTTATGTTTCTTTATTCAAATAATCAGTTTTACACATTAATTGCCAATCTGTTTCAAAATTTGCAGATTTAAGCAAAGAACTAGACACCATCCCATTAGCCATTACTTTGGTACTGGCATAAACACACGGATATTGTTTGATTAGAATTTGCTGTTATGAATTAAGGAATATATCTCCCTCATGCAAAGCTCTGATTCCTTGTCCGAATTTGTCCATTCTTAGGTCCTTTGTGGTTTAATCAACTTCTCATAGTTTGTAGTAGATTTTAGATATTCCAATAAACATTGATCTCGAGCATCATTAAAGAGACATTATATGTCAAAATGCGCATCTGGTGCATCAAAATTGGTACCGTTTAAGTTATGTACCATCGCAAAATATAAGTCTCACAAAGCAATCAGCAAAACCAGGGCAAAAACCGATCAACTTATATGATTATGTTCTTTAGGGATATATATATCAATGCAGACACTTTTATTGAATAGTAAAATGAGAGGAATTATTTAAAAAACAGAAACACTTTTCAAATTGCATATAGTATGACATATAAATTGTTCTGCAAAGTTTAGGGTATTAAAGTGACAAATGTATTTTGTCTTAGGAATTTAGAGCGAATGGACATGTATGGAATCAAGTGTTTTGTCAGATGGATTCCGATAAAGATGGAAAATCAAATGGTGAGGAGCTCGGAGATCCGAATTGTACTTGGCAACCTGGGCAAACACCAGACGGCAACGCCATTGGTCATCCAGGTATTATATTTGATTATTCTTTGTTTTCTTCGTATGCTCCATTTTCTTCACATAAAAGGAGATTAAGTTTAACATGGCGCATGTAACAAAAATTAGCTTTATTTTTCATTTGGCAGCTCCAAAATGTTTCTAATCATTTTGCTTTGATAAGGCTTTCAATTGCAATTTTAAAATTAAGCAGTTTTGGACGCTATAATTCTATCTTTTATGTTTTTATTGAAATAATAAACATAACAAATCATATCATCTTTTTTAGATTCTGTCAAATCGTAGTCCAAATAACATGGACCAATTTGTTTTTAGAAATTATTAATTATATCAAACCATTTTCTTGTTTAACAATTCCCTTACTGAGACACCTTTTCTCAACACAGAAATATATTGTGTTATAGCTAAAAACATTTAATTCTGAAAATAAGTATACTAAAATCAGAATAAAAGCATATTTACTCTATATGATACATGGCACATATGTTTTATACATTTTGCAGGTATGACTGATTTTATGTGTTTGATAGCTTCAGTTATTTAATAGTGAATGTTTAGTAAAAAATTATCAAAGCCAACAAATACTCATACACACACAAAATGATAAGTAGATCTTCTGATCAGGACTTTATTCGACCTACGGTGTTTTTAGATGTTTATGTTAGAATTTCCCAGGATAATCGCCATACCAAATTTATAATAATCGAGACAATTATCCTTTTCTACTGTTTACCTTTTGGATCCTTCTTTTGGAGTGTACTTGGTTTTTGGCAGCATGCACAAAGCACGCAACTTGCTAATATAAAAATCCTGTATATACTTTTATCATATAATTAGACTAGATAATTTATGATTTTTACAGTATGATAATAGCATTAAATTTACGTAAATTCCATATTTTCCGATATGGTTCTTGGCGCGGCAAATTCCGGCAAATACACCTCAAAGTACGTTTTCAGTGATAAATATAACAAAGTAGGATACAAAACAATTATTAAGAAACAGAAAAATAATATGTAAAATGCAAAAAAAATGATACAATAAATGCTTTTTTTTTAAGTTTCAAAAATAGTTCGTCTCTGTACTTCTTTTGCTGAGGTATATGATAAAAATATTTTATACTGTTGTTTTTCTCCTCTGTTGAGGCAAATGATAGAAAGATTTCATATCGGATGTATTACATTTGGCGTCCGTCGTCCGTAAACTTTTCACTTTTTGAAGTTCTACTTGAGAACCACTTAAAAGGATCAATATACTAAACTGTTATTTTTCTCTATAGTTGAAGCATATGATTAAAATAGTTAATTAAATGTAATTTTTCACATCGGATGTATTATCAGCCCTCGGTCAATATCAACCCTCGAGCCTTCAGCTCTTGGGCTGATAGTGCATCCTAATGAACAGTACAGGCAAACAAAATTGCACTATAGACATAATGATTTGATATTAAATCGGAAGTATATTGTATGGGGATACATCTGCAAATTAAACACATTAATCACATATGTATGCTTGTATTTTCAATAGGTATTTGTGAACCTGTAGGAGATGCCAGATGTTCGTACCAAAACTTCGCCTGTAACTGTTTTGAACATTGTAGTGGAGTAGATGGTTATCCCTAAGCTGGACAATAAAGTGTTAAGAAAATCATTTTGAGTAGTTAACTTGATAAATGCACTTGAAAATTGAAATCATGGTTTTCTAAAACTGATAATAGTTAAAAGCAACGAATTTTTTAATGATTTTTACAAATAAACAAGAGGCTCTAAAGAGCCTGTGTCGCTCACTTTGGTCTATGTGCATATTCAACAAAGGACACTGTCCAACATTGAAGACAAGAATAGAATTCATAAGAAAAATCACTGTTTCATTGATTTTGTATTGCTGATCATATGGTCTATTTAGTTTCTCTCTATCTTCTTTAATTTTTGCTCAAAACACAAAAGAGGGTAAAAAAAATCCTTATTTAAGGGACTGGGCAATCACGCCTATAAAGAGTGACAGCCTACTACCTTTATCACCAAATTTGACTTGTTAGTAGATCGAACGATTTCCTCTATATTGTTTTAATTGTAGATCTTGTCTTGCTGATCATTTTTGCCTATTTAAGTTTCTAATTATATTTTTTAAGAATTAAGGCAAAAACGCAAAATATTGTAAAAATAATCATCAAAGGGCAATAACTCTCATAAGGAGTAGGCTGACGATTTCGACAATGTGATTTTATTTGTAGAACTTGTCTTGCTGACCATTTTTGAAATTTAATGTTTCTCTGAATCTATTATAGTTTTCAAGATAATAGGCAAAAATGAGAAAAAAAATGGTAAAATCTGTCATTTAAGGGCAATAACTCCTATAAGAAGTTGTCTGACAATTTTGACGTCAATATACAGTTGGTAGAACACAACATTCTGAACATGTTTGCTCTTGTCAGATTTACTCTTTTTCAAAATAATAGACAAAACATGCATTTTACCTCTTTGTTCTAATTTTAGCCATGTCGGCCATATTGGTTGGCAAGCGGGGTCATCGGACACATTTTAAAAACTAGATACCCTAAGTTGCCAAGTTTGGTTAAATTTGTCTCAGTAGTTTCAGAGGAGAAGATTTTTGAAAATGATTACAAAAATTTACGAAAAATTGTGAAAAATTTACTTTCAACGGCAATAACACTTTATGGGGTCAATTGCAAATTTTGGTTATCTAACTTATTTGTAGATCTTACTTTGCTGAACAATTTTGCTGTTTACAGTATATCTCTATCTATTATAATATTCAAGATAATAACCAAAAACTGCAAAATTTCCTTAAAATTACCAATTCAGGAGCAGCAACCCAACAACGGATTGTCTGATGCGTCTGCAAATTTCAGGGCAGATAGATCCTGACCTGATAAACATTTTTACTCCATGTCAGATTTGCTCTAAATGCTTTAGTTTCAGAGATATAAGCCAAAAACTGCATTTTACCCCCATGTTCTATTTTTTAGCCATGGCGGCCATCTTGGTTGATGGGCGGGGTCGTCGGAAACATTTTTTAAACTAGATACCCGAAGGTTTTATTTGACCTAGTAGTTGCAGAGGTGAAGATTTTTGTAAAAGTTAAAGGACGACGACGGACGACGGACACCAAGTGATGAGAAAAGCTCACTTGGCCCTTTTGGGCCAGGTGAGCTAAAAACACTGCTAGTATATGATGCATGTTTAACATAAAGAGAAACATCGATGAAAAGTAAATCACACATGCGCATCACAGTGTCATGTTATTAAGTAAGTGGCATGACGTGATATGCCGTTTTATAATTACTTGTAGAAGCGTTTCAGAATGAATATTACATGCAATTAAAAATCAATTAAAACTCATAAATGGACAGATTGTATATATTGGTTTGGGGGGGGGAGGGGGGGGGGGTTCAACAGATTGTCAATAAACATTTAACAGTAACAGATACAAGTAATCTATCTATACTACATTATTAGTCCATATTATTGAAGTTAATACTTATGCTGTTGGTGACCACTATACTGTATACATTTCGAGAAAGTTCAACCCAAAAGCTTTAAAAAATTAAAATATGATCATTTTAATAATTGAATGCAGATCGCTCAAAAATTTTGATCAAAATGAATTAATTGAAAATCAATCAAATACTCCTTTTCATTTGATTGAATCATTGGATGTAGTGAAGATTCAACAAATCTTTGGTATACATTATTTTTAAATATACTATACACGCATGCTCCAGCGATATAAAAGAGAGGCAAAAGATACCAAAAAGGACATTCAAACTCATAAGTCGAAAATACACTGCAAAAGACATGGCAATAAAAAAGGACCAAAAGACATACAACAGTACACAAAACACAACATAGAAAACTAAAAACTAAGCAACACGAACCCATCCAAAAACCGGGGGTGAACTCTGTTGCTCCGGAAGGGTAAGCAGATCCTGTTCCACATGTTGCATCCGTCGAATTGCTTATGTTAGTACAAATTCGGTAATAAGTCTAATTCAGAAGATCACATTCAGGGAAAAAAGGACGGGATTGTGGTTACAAAAATTGGAACCTATCCGTCGTCATCTGTGAAACAGATATTCCATTACGGTTAATTGCAATCAACTCGTGACGGCGTTCGTTAAATTTTCGAAGGGATGATTTCAACTTCACTACAAAGAACTCGTGGTATAATAGCCTCCTTGTGAGCACCAACCTTCTATCAAGGAAATCATGATAGGAAATGCAAGCACTGGAATAACGTATCAACTTGGAGATATATACTCTATATGCAGGCGCTGCTGGAATGTTGCTACACAGATATTAAAAGTTCACATTTTGGAAGTTGAAATCATCTCTTTTGTCGTAAAGTTTTGTTCTCAACCGACCCTCAATGTCAACCATCAGCAAAACCCATACCGCATAGCAAACTATAAAATACAAAAAAATATTTGCCCTGACTTGACAAGTCATCGTGTGAATCTTATATATTTGATATCCAAGTGCAATGGTATATCTCCCTATGCAACTATAATACAAGATTTCTACACTCTACGAGTTTTTGTCAGAACTACACTGTTCTATCTCCACACTCCCATTGGATTATAAAAGCTTATTCATATAGTTAGTTCAGAGACAAAATAGTTTTATAATGTTGTATCTCCACTTTTTTTTCAATCTATGATCAGTTCTTGGCAAATCCACCATTTCGGAATTGGGGATATTACAGAGTTAAAAAATACAGGGTCTATATCCAATAGAAATATAGGGATACATTTATAAAACAACATTGTTTGTAGTGAAGTGTCCTATCTCCAGAAAGGTGATGTTTTATTTATCTAAGTTACTTGTCTTTACGAAAAAAATCGAACAAAGAGTTACTCTTCATGTACGTAAATTCGATTCCTATATACATTTTTATGACTCAGTCAAATATTTATGATATTGCGCTTTTAGAATTTAATCTAAATTTTTACCACTATTACCAAATGGGAAATACATCATTATAAGATTCACACGACGAAATGTTAAACAATTCAAACGAGAAAACTAACGGCTTGATTTAACAACAAACGACAGCGATTGAATTACAGGCTCTTGACATCGGACAGGCACATACAATAACATGTTTTCTGGCGCTGTCGTACTTTTTTGTGCTCTACATGAAAATATATACAAATATACATGAAAAAAAAACAGACACAACAGAAGTTTGTTGATATTCTTCATGTCTTGTTGGATTATATTTTCGATACTAATTGTGCAGCACTACTGGCCGACTTGGTTTTTTATTCATATGATGCAGAATTTATACAGAACCTTCTTAAAAACAAAAACACAAAAAATCATCTTGCAAAGTTCTTTGATTTGATCAAATCAAATCATATCTAAAATCTTGTTTATATTAGATATATTGATAATGTTCTGTCACTCAATAACTCACATTTCAATAGGTGCTTACATTGCATGTATCCCAGTGAACTTGAAATTAAGGATACTACCGAAAGTAGAAGGTCTCCTTCATATCTTGATCTAGCTCTTGTCCTGATCATGCATGAACTAGTTATAACTAGACGTTGAGAAAACAACATTCAATCAATCATCAATCATACTTTTCATACAATAGGTAAGTTTCCTATCAAGACTTTATACCAAATCGCCTTACGTCTATAAAACAGGCGCGAATTATTCAAACATGCACAAGATCTGTAATCAACACAAAATTCCACGAAGGTCGAAACCTTGAATTACGACTTAAGGTCCTTAAGTTAAGGAGGTAGACCTCCGTTATCGGACGTAACTCTGAAAATCACTGTTACGTTTGTGTCGACCAATTTCAGAAAATATATTCTTAGCTTCTAGGTTATATAAATTATTTTCCTTCTGTTTCAGCTAAATACTTAAAATACATTGACGAAACTGACTATTGAAAACGCATAAATGATTTAAGTTGTTATCTCCCTCAACTGAGGCCTATCCCCTTAAGACAACCACTGACGATGTGCTTGACTCGAGAAAGCTGCATGAAAAAGAAAGTGCATGCAACTTAATGTAAGCACTTTAACCTCTTCCTTTTATACTTGATCATAGGAAGGCTAACTGTATATAGCAAACAATGCACAATAAGAATTAGTCCACACGAATCATTTAAAACTATGATACAGGTATAAAGACATCAGAGGTTACAAGTAAATAATATTGCTAGCACGTACAATTCATACCATCTCGCCTTTCATTATGCATATCTAAACATACTTTATTGGTCGGGTTGTTGTCTCGTTGACATATTCCCCGTTTCCATTCTCTATTCGACCAAGAGGAGGTGTGATGCTATATATATGATATATGTAACTTTGGGTACCTTATTAGGAAAAGAAAAATTCATTTACTTTGATACATATGCCCACTAGAAATACAAGTAGAAACGTTCTTCGCAGATAAGTTTTTCATACCTTGCAGAGAAGAGGTGTAAACCAATTAATTAAATATGATAACCTTAAGTACGAATATGAATAGACGAAAATGTTTGGTATACGTCAAAACCATAGCAAACCAACACCATGTACAACATAGATCGTAACCAATATACATATGTCTATACACTAGCTGAATAACTAATTTTACAAACATTATCTTGTGGTTGTGGCCTGTTAT